GAAACTCAATATAACGTCCTCAACATGTTGTTGTAGCTTTGGACCAGACATTAGAACCTGGTTAAGTGAGACACCGGAAGTACTAGGCGCAGAAGCGTCGAATACAGCACGAAGCTTTGTCGTGCTGCTGCTTTCCTTTAAGACACCGTGATGGGGAATATAATAACGATCATGTGAAATGTGGGAAGAAATGGGGCGCATGTGACCTGCCTGAAGGTAACCTCTCATGAACTTTACATAGAGTTTCCGCTCCAACCCACCTAACCGCTTGAGAGCATTTTCGAAAGTTGAGCCTAAAGGTATACGCCCAAGCTTGAAATGTAAGCGCACTATAAACCTGCCGTTATCGTTGCGAGAGTGGGTCTCTACAAAATGCTTTTCGCAGAGCACGCCGTCTGGATCCTGGATGGACTGTGCTGGAACCTCTTCAACCTCCCAGAACTTCGTGAGAATGGAGTCAAGATCAACGGTACAGGACATAGACACGGCTTGATGCGGGTTATCTAAGTTGGATGGAGCTCTACTCATCAAAACTCAGCCGAACAAAGATGAGTATGCAGAAGAAAATCCTTCACCTAAAGATAGCTTGCGACCATTAAATATTTGCTCATAAAGATCTACACCTATAAGAATATCTATAGGCCCAGGAACAAAGAACCCATCATCTGCCAAACGAATGACTCTACATTTATTGACAACCTCCTGAGAGACAGCGCTAGGAAGAACTCCTGTAATACGTTTAAGGATAACTGCAGTGGTTACCAAAGCAAAACAGGAAGAATCCATTAAAGATTGAATCACACATTACACGCTTCCATTTGTGCGTTGTCCGTTTGATTCTCCTAGACCAAAAAGTGTGGTAGGGTTAGCACGGGGCAACTGCAGCTTCCTTGCTAAAGTTTCTGTTACTATGGTGACCTGTGAACCGCTATCAATGAGAGCTCGAACTTTATGTAATGCATTGTTAGCATCTCTGACTCCGACCACAGCCGTGCCCAAAAGTATGATAGATCCACCATGAACATTGTGAACAAGAGAAGGTTGAACTGTAGAGCTAAGTGTCGATACAGCAGCCCCTGACTGGACAGTAGAAGCTTGAGAAATGCAAGCATTAGTATCGATGTGCAACTTAGTATGATGACGGCCACAACAAATTTGACAACAGCTCCTAGACTGACATTTATTTATAGAATGTGTGCGTTAACAATTAAAACATAATTTGTTATCAATGACAAACTGTTTCCTATCAGCTGGTGTCATTGAATTGAATTTGTGGCAAGTGTAAATGCTATGTTCACCTTTGCAACAGTAACATGTGTATGGGAGCTTAACCATAAATGATTTAGAATTGTTTGCTTGAGCATTATTATTACTAGTCGAGTGGGAAGTTGATCTAGATCCCATGACAGTTTCCAACACCTTAAGCTGAGTTTCCAAAACTTCAAGTAATTTGTTAAAGGTTGGAATGTCATTAGTTGGTTCTCGCTGGTGATCTAACTCGAACTTGCTCCTCAAATCTATTGGAAGTTTAAGTAACAATATATGTAATAAAATAAAACTCCAAGAATCTGTTTGAAAGCCTAAAGCGTCTAAAGCTTGAATATTTTCTTTGAGAGTGTTAACTAACTTTCTTAAATTATTGTTAAATTGATTTTTATTTATATTTAAAATAGCCTCTAAATATTTATCTGCAATTAATCTTTTATTTTGATACCTATTCTTCAATAAGTTGTAAGCTAAATAGTAATTACCATCTGAAAGCTCTAAGTGTTTGATGAGATTCAAAGGTTCTTTGTCTAATACAGATAACAAATAGTGCATCTTTTAGTTGCACTAAACTCTCAATCATAGCTATGAAGTTAGGCCACTCTGTGTAAACACCAGAAAATTTTGGTAAAGTAATTTTGGGTAAAACAAAATTACTTGATTTATGCACTATATGTCTGTGTTTGATTTAGTGATTGTTGTGTTCCTTGTGTAACTAAATCATTTAATATCTGCACTGAATAATATTTGTCATAGAATGCATTATACTGCTTTTCCAAGTCAACTTTAAAACTTTCTTCTGTAGACATAACTAGTAAAAAGTCGTGAGCTTCCTGAAAATTAGTGCGACAAACATCCACATCACGTAAACGAACCTTAAAAGATGATAATAATGAAGGATCTTGAGTAGGTTGTGCACTAAGTTGATTTGCCAAGTTAAAAAGCACGTCCATAAATTTAAAGTTTGCATTCAGTTTTATAGTACTTAGAGCGCATGTCGAAGTATCATCATCCGATACTGCAATGTTAGGCATTCCGCTTTTATTCGATGCCATTATGAAAGATAAATCGAAAATAAAGAAATTTAAGTAAACGAAAAAGTCTACAGGGTAAAAGTATAACTTGTTTACAACAAAACGTCAAAATGAAAAACTAGGTCATTCATAGACTATATTTAATGACATTTATGGCAACGAGTTCAAGTAAATTAAGCCATCGATCATTTATTACTCTCAATAATCGATAGTGTGGTGACGGCATAAGAAAGTCATAGACTACGACAGCACTATTAATATTTTGCCTACCTGCGACATAAAAATAAAAAAAAGAAATGATAACGCAACTTTTGGAAAACGATAAGATGAAGGACCAGGAAATATGCGTGGAACAGAAAGGAGTTTGGGCTTACTTTTAGTTTCTTCGATAAACCAGGGTATTAAGCCGCTGGTCGTAAGTCTCCCGCGATGTTCTGGGATTGATTTGATTTCAATTTTGTTATCGTCCTAACTGCCCCTCAGACAGCGTTGATTTTCTATGTATTTGCTGTATACACTTTCGCGCTTCAAGATTTGGTTGGAATGGGACCTTGCGGTATCGACCATTTGCTACGGTGGCGGAGATACAACAGGCAGCTCTCAGTGACTGTCTGTCTACCCTCGATTATTTTATATTTGTCCAAGTTAGGGAAAGGTAGGTAGGTGGATGAATAAAGTTGTGTTACCATATTCAATACTTTGTTTGTAAAGCATTTTGAAAACGAACAACATTTAAAAGTAATCGAACAAAATGGTACCTTTATTATTTTGTTTGATAACTTTTCCATCCACCTTGTAGGTAGGGATAAGATCCCATTGTTATTGAAATTTTGGAGCTTCTGATTGATCAAAAGTCGCGGCAAGTGGATTAGCAGTCCTAGCGTGATGTTAACCTTACACTGTCTAAAGAATTCTAAAGAGACCGAACCAGGCGGAAATCTGAAGGTTTTTAAAAAGTGGCATCCATTTTATTCGTAACAGGGAGACCGATGCGACGTGCATCTTTGATATCAAAATTTACGGACTGAAAACGCATAAACCAAATGTATGCTACTCTCACAGAAACTGCACTAGGTTCATAAACGTTACAAGTTTTACATTTTTTTCGCGGCTTGCGCTGCATTTCTACCTTTTTTATAATAAAATTTTTAAATGTAACGAATTTCTTCATTATCATTATATCAGCCTGGTGCAGTCCACTGCTGGACGTAGGCCTCCCTCAGAGTGCGCCACAAAACACGATATCCCGCTTTCTTCATCCAGCCACTGCCAGCCACCTTTTTGCGGTCGTCAGTCCATCTTGCTGGGGGGCGTCCGACACTACGTTTGCCGAGTCGTGGTCTCCATTCGGGAACCCGTCTGCTCCACCTATCGTCGGTTCTGCGACAGACGTGGCCAGCCCACTTCCACTTCAGCTTGCTACATTTCTGGACGACATCCATCACTTTAGTCCTCTGCCGGATGACCTCAAGATTGATGATTCTTCATTAGATTCACTCATTTTGACAGTAAGAAAAATAAATGAATATCATACATTTTCCTAATTAGAATTCGGAGTTGCCTTCATTAAAATTTAAACTTTTTAATGATACCAGGCAGATAAAAAGGGTATAGCCAGAAAGATTTTATTACAAGTAAATGCATGCTTTATGCTATAAGATCTTTTACCCAATCTAATACATATACGAGTGTCTTTATATACTCGTACATTTTTATATTATATCTATTAGAACTTTTGTCTATAAAACACGGCCCTGTCGCTAAGAAAACTTTATTTCTTAACTACCACTTAAAATATTGGCTAGAAAATATCTTGTTTTAAGCTTTCATAGTCATTTAACAGTGATAGTTTTGCGTTTCCGATATTTCGACGTTGTTGCAAGCGCTATGGTCACGGATCACTTCTATGATGTGAATGCAGAGAGTCGCCATTCTTTCTAGTTTAAAATTATTTCAATGAAATGAAATGAAGTTATCTTTATTCAAGTAAGCTTTTTTTCAAACACCTTTGAATCGTCCAAAAAATGTTATTTCCATGGTTCAGGACGTCTTTTAGCTGACAAGAAGAACAAGCGAAAGAAACTTACCAGCTCTTTATCGTAAAAAAGCATACTCAAATTTCGTGTTATTTAAAGAAGCCAGAAAAGTATCTAATTTGCTGTCAACAGCGCGTCAGGTTATTTAATAAAACTATAACACTTTTATATATTAAACTTTACGAATGATGCAGCCCGCAGAGCCTTTGCCTTTTATTTCTTAATCTTCAATTTCTTTCTTATGTCGCTTATGTAATTAAGTCAGTATCTAATTATTTATCATGGTCGAAATCGAATGGAATAGGGAGAATGGGCTATGACCCACAATGCGGGCCCAGTGCGGTTTGGTGGGTGTTAATGATTGCAGATACAGCCGGGAGCAATGGCTTAACGTGCCTTCCAAAGCCCGGCGGAGATCGAGATAATAAATTTTAGGTCACAGATTCTATGACATGTTTTTGTAAAATCACAGTTGCATATCAACTGTATTGCCAATTGAGCGCACTAACCACTTTGCCATCGAGCTCCTTCTCTACTTTATATAATGTTTACGAATTTTCTTACCCGAATTATCGACATAAGATGTAAGTAAATAATGTTTGTTAAGTCAACTGCAATCTCATCGCATACATTTATTGAAAATAAAAATTAAATATAATTTTGGTCAATTATCGGTGTATTTAGGTTTCAAACTTGCATATCCGTAGGCTTTTGCGATACTCTCTTTCGTGTCTGTATGTGTGAGTTCAGCTTCCACTCGAAACTTCTCGAACGGTATCGTGTACCTAAATGCATCCATTGGTACAGTTATGTTGAGTAAGTGGAAATCTGCCTGAAGAAAAGAATAGTTTATCAAATAGTAACTACATAGTTCATATTTAGCACAGGTTACCATTATCCAATAGATTTTATGTCTTAATCTGTTAAAAGTTGTTGTACTGATGTTTGTGCATAGTATTTACCGGTGGATGAGGGCAGGAGTATCCTCTATCCCTCAACAGTTGACCTATGAATGGATCTTTGTTTACGACGTCACAGCCCCGCAAATGTGCTTCGATGAATGTCCTTCGGTACTCATTGTGCAAATACTCATAAAATATTAAATGCGCCTGAAACATTGATATTCAAAAGTTAACCTTTTTCGTTAATATTATTTTCTTGTTAGTCCACTCTATGACGTAAAGTTTGCAGATGTCTTTTTTAAAAAGAGGAATGTTACATGTCCGATGTTACATGTACAATTACGAGTACAATATTTTTTTGAAACGATTATTATTTTTCTTAAATGTCTGTGAGAAATATAATTCGAGGTTAATGTTTTTGTCAAATCTATAAGTAAGTTACCTGGGGTGTTTCACCGGAATAAGACCAAATATGTGGGTCACATAAGACACAATAATAGAAACGGAAGTGCTTATTATCTTGTAATAAGGTTCCAATTACGATTGGTGGTTTTATGTTTTCATATGATTTTTTAATTATGTTGTGGGTGAATATATTAATAACTATATCGATAGGAATACTTCGTCAACCTCTGGATAGTAATGTAGTAACGTGTTTTCATATATAGTTCTTCAAAAAAGAGAAAAAATTCTAGTGAATGATTCGATTATGTTCTTATAAAAAAACCCATCATACCAGAATTGTAGAGCAATCAAAAAAGGTTATTTTCATAAAGCTTTGCAAATTGCTGTAGAACTACAAAATTTAGCAAAATTTTACACCCAATGTTGTATACAAATACATTGATACAATATCGAGGTGTGCACTGCCACATCTTACAACCCCTTAGGAAACTCATTGGTTATGGAAACACATTGGTGTGGATTATTCATATAGTAATAAAAATCATTTATTCTGAAGGAAGGTTACACAAACGAGCATGTAATAATATTTAATACAATATATGCTCTCAAATCCAAGTTCATTAGGTAAAAGCAGAAAGACGAAAAATAACTTCGCTACTTAAAGTAACTTATTAATAAGTTTTTTTCAGACAGTAGTCAGTATATTGTGACAAAATTCGATAGAAAAACCAGAGGACCTGAAAATAATATTAAATTACTTACGGTCACATTATTGCCCCACGTGTGTTTTGTTTTGCCCTCTACATTGATGTAGTATGGGCTCTTGCGGCTAGTCCTCGTTACATACCCGCGTGCATAATACAGGTACTTGTCCGACCATGACGTCACGTTACCCCGCTCCGGCACCAGGACGGCAGTGAGCCGTCGGGTCTGACGGGATGACAAATTTTATTGTGCATAAGTACACAAAAAAATATCCAACTGCCTCAGTTGCTCGGGGCGGTATATAAACTTAATGCTCTATCGATTGAGCTTCTTTAAGGAGAATACCAAATTTCTAAAAGTACTTGTATTAATTACTTGTTCAAAAGTACCGCCTAGAATAACCACAGACGGTTGATTTTTTAAATTTACTTACTTATACCTATACCTCGTTATATAAGTTTTGAGACGAAATAAAAGTTGCGTAACTTTTTTAATAATTAACTAATAATTCAAACATTTTTATAACCATTAAATAGATAATAAACAACAATAAAATATATGTTTAATTTTTTAATACAGCCGATTTGGCTCGTCATTAATGGCGCGACGAGTTATTTCTTGCAGAATTCGCTTTGCTTTTCAAATAAGGGTTCGCTTCAGTGACTCCCAAGTTCGGGTGCAGAGACTTTCCAGAGGATGCCCTATGCATATGCCCTATGTCAATGGAGTCACGATAATAACCTCCCTTTAAATAAAAATAAATGCAAAATGATCACTTTCACCCGTAAATTAAAACCAAAAATGTACAATTACAATTTATTTGACACTCCTATAGAAATAATATTTGACATCAAGGATTATTATTGGACTGCAAATTGGATTTTCATATACTCATAATTAATATCTGTAAGGCTGCACTTAGGACCTTAGGGTTTGTTATAAGAACGGCGTCACAATTTAATAGCGTGGCAGTTAGTAAAGTTTTATTTGCTGTATATGCAAGCTTGAATATGGAGCAGTTGTGCGGGATCCATATGAAGAAAAATATATTCTTATGTTAGAAAAAATACAACTCAAATTTGCACGATGGCTTTACTACAAAAGCTATGGCTATTGCCCCTAACTTTACCCGAGCCTATTCGTATTGGGTATGGTAGAAATGGACACATTGAAGCTGAGAAGGCCTATGTTTCTGATAGTCCTATATCTTTCGATTCTGCACCGTAGAATTTACAACGCAAACATTCTAGAGCAGTTTTGTTTGTTAACTCCTACAAAAATCTCTTGAAACTCCGCGGGATTAGTTGCACCTAGACGCCAACGACGGTTATCGGCGCTGCCGACCGCGCGCGGGACATACTTGCTCAGCATTATGAACTGGATATATTTGCCGATAATTTTAATTATTTATATAACCAATTTCGGAAATTCCTAAATGACAATTTTACTTAATCGTAATAAATCTATTTTTGTGCATTTATAATGGACATTTTTTTTTTGTTAATATTGATTATTTGTACCTGTAGAAATTCAATTATTAGTTTGTAGAGTGACGATGACATTTAATTTTTAATATTTTTGTATTGCTGACATTTAATTTTATTATTAGATTTTTATTGTAATTTGATTTGACCTATGTTTTTGACATTGTCAATAATATTTTATCATCATAATTTAGGTGTTATTCTGTCTTATTGTATGTTCTTTATTTAAATTTCATATTTTTTTTATAATCTAATCTTGCAAGCGTTTTGGATAAACATCTGTTAGCTTTTAGGACTCGTTTGTAATAAATAAATACGAAACTCCCCACCATACCATCACACTAGCCGGATGATGAGTGCGCGAGACATTCAGTGCAGAAGCTGGGACATCCATGCTACTTTTAGCATACACTTTATTGTTTTGTAGGTTGAACTTTTCTTCGACAGTAAAAATTTTCTCATCAGTGAAGAGTATCTTCTTGGCATCATGTCTCCTCAGCAGCGGAGCGAATGGAAAACGTTCGCGTTGTGACTTACAAAGACGATCGTTTAAAAAGTGAACTTTTCTACGGCTATTGGCCTTTACCTTTCATATTTCAATATTCTGTTCACTGAAACGCGCGAAATATTAGTTTGCAGAGCGAGATTCTTCTGAGTGCGACATGGATTTCGGCGAAATCGTTCTCGGAGGATTTTGAAGTTTACAGGCGTACATACAGAGCGTGGCCGACCACTCCTTTGGCGATCTTGCAGAGAACTTGTCTAGCCGAAAGTTCGTCCATTACACAATATAGCGGCACAACCGCTATATTGTGTAATAGATGAACTTTCGGCTTACAGGAAAACTCAGCTTGTGAAAAATCTGCATTGGTATTTTCCCCGCCTTAAATAGCGAAATGAGAATGGCACGTAATAGTTTCGTTCTCTTCATCACGACCAAATATAAACAAATGATTTTGCAATACAAATAAACTAAACGTTTGAACGATTTCAATTCGATAATTTCAATTCGTTATCTGTAAAAATAATCGTGAATAACTACAAAGACTTAACGGATAGAAGTATTTTCGCTGCGAAGATTTGCTGACCGAGGTTTTAACTTCACGACTTACTCACTATTTTGGTATTTGTAATTTTTATTATTATTAGTGATTGTAAACTTACATAAGTATAGTTGAAGAGTAATATTGATAAAAGGAATATTTTAAAGATCATTTTCTTGTTTTGTTAACATGATATTTTAAAACTTACTCGCTCCGAATTGAAGTGTATCAATTTAAATATGACTGGTTTTAATATCAGCGCCTGGTCGTTAAACACCGGACGTTTATACATAACTGGTTATTATGTATTTTATTACATATGATTAGATGTCATTCCGATTACAAAAAAGGGTTTTTGTTGTAACAACGTTTTAGTATATCGTATCATTAAAATCAATAATATTGAGGTACTTATTAATTGAAGGTCAACGTGCATTGTTGTGAAACAAGTTCAGATTTGATTCAGATAAAGATTATTGTTAAGGGAAAGTTGTTAAAAAGCTCAAATGTACATAAGAATATTAGAATTAAAATAACTCTTGTATACTTAAACCAGAGATCATACTTTGGGACGACAGATAAATAAATAAGAGTTAAGGGCATAGAAAGTTGTTTAAAAATATAGGAATCATTAGCAGCTTATAGTGATGCCCACACCAGTGCGCCTTAAATTGCATCATGAAGTTCTATTTTCATTTCCAATGTATCATAAAGATTATGATACATAATTTTATCATAGCGCAAATCTTGGAATTCAAATTTGACCCACTTCCCTATGTCCGATAGATTTTGATATGTTGCATTACGTGTAAGTCAGATGACAATATAATTTTATGGTGTCATTAGGCTGATATGATAATGAAGTCGAAAGGTGGTCACAGGAACTCAGTGAAATGACGCAACTGCATCGTGTTTGAACTCGTTAGATCACTCTTTAATAGGACTTTGGTAGTGGTTGTTTTCTAGACCAAGGTCTGGTGAAGATGGAGCTGGAAGGTAGTCATAGAAACATAGCTATGAAATTAACGCAGCTGCATCGTCTTTGGGCTCTTTAGATACTTTTTACATCGACACTTCTTTCAAGAGTGGCTTACATATGAAATATGTCACATGCTTGCTATGGAAGAGATAAGAGTCATGATCGTTGTGAGACAGAAGTGCGAAGTTTTGTATAAAACTTTGGAATATAGAGAACAAGAAAAAAAATGTGAAACATATTGGTTAATTATTTAGATCATTCAAATATCATGGGTTGTTTGGCCCATGAGGTGCTGAGGGCTAGGGTTGGTGCTCCCATTTTTCAAAAACGTCACGGTGATACACAATATAGTGACAGTTGTCGATTTGTGAGCATTGATATATGCGATCAAACCAAAAAGTAAAAGAAAATTTTGCTAGATAGTTGTTGATGTCATTATTTAAAGGCATTAGGATCAAGCTGATACAGCCAATACAAGGTATTTTTTGAACGTTCACGCGACAATGTTGACATTCCAAAGATACTTTTACATTTTTTTACTGTCCTTTTACTATGTTTGTTATGTTTATTTTTATTTATTTTTATTTGTAATGTTTGTATTACGTAAATACAGGAGGTATATTGGTTAGTTTGTTGGAACTAATTTTCTTACCCGCATTCCACCTACTTCTTTTTTGACGCTGAAACATGCGTTACGCATACACTCACTTCACCCTGCGCGGGATCCACGTGTTATGTGGAACTCTCCCCTGCGGACCAGTCCCGTAGGGCTGGTTAAAAACAGGGGTATACCCACTAAAACTCAGCGATGTCCTCACCCGCAGGTAGAGCACGGCATGGATCCTAAAGGGACTATATTCCGCGCAATTCACCCACGATTCGGCCACTTCTTGCGAGGCTGGTCCCACCACCAGTTAGGGGAAGGCTTAGGAACATTCAAGTCATCCCCCTAGACAAACCACGGGGCGTGCAATGCCCGGTAAGCGCGCTAATCCACCAGACTGCCCCCCGTCAAATATTACAAAGATTTACAAAACATACAAAAACCCTTTCGCGTTATCCGTGAAGGTTGGTACTTAAATCAATTTGTACATACATAAATATGTATCTTCTTCTTAGTCGCATACTTCATTACTGAAAATCGTGCCCATCCTGAAATATTTTGGTACAGGAATCAACGAGCTGCTTCCTTGCTTTCCTGTCAGTTTAGATTTAGTACGCTATAGGGGTGTAGATTTTTTTTTATTTTTATAGATATGCATAAAATATATGTAAATAAAGTAAAATCTAAATTTAAATTTAATTTTCAGAACTTCCTGCGTAATCGCCACTTCTGTTATGGCGTCGCTATGACGTCATGGCACTCTAAAACGAACATCGTTCTATATATGCATCAGTTGAACTCTCTAAGTTCTGATATGAGTAAAAGGGCGTGATGACACGCGCTGTTTGCGGTCACGTGACAACAAGCATAAAATATTTGTTTTTCCATAATTAGTTTAAGCAGTATTATAAATATAATAAGCATAAAAGCGTGATAATCGGTAAAAGTATATTAAACACTACCAGAAACCCGTATTATCCTCATCTAGTAAGCTATACGAACACATTTAAACTACATTTTTATGTTTGTAGCTTATTTATTTCCTAAGTTATGCAAAAGCAAAGTAGTGCTAATTCGACTGACTGATTAACTGAACATCAAAATAAAATTAATATCAAAAGCGATTTATTCAAGAAAATGCTGTTGAAGTCGGCGGATTCAATATCATTTTCTTGAATAAGTCGCTTTTGATATAAGTATTATTTATCAATTTTTTAAAGTTTAAAGTCGGTTCTACTTTTTATAAAATGTTTTTATTTCATGCTTTTGAGTGATATTGATATTTTTGTATAATAGGTAACACTAAAAAAAATTAAATTTCTATGTCAACAAAAATATTTAATATAGTTAAAAGTCTTAGAAAAGGATATTTTGTTTATTTGATCGACATATTGCTTTGTTTAGTTTTTTGTTTGCATTTGATAGGCCCCGAAACTAATGGACTGATTTATAAAAGGCAATAAAATAATTAACGCGTGCGAGGTCGCCGAAAAACAGTTTGTTTGATAGAAATTGGTTCACGATTCAAGAAGTAATCGATGAACATACCTTCCATTATATCACCATTAATATGAAACCATTTTAACGTATTAATATTTAACAAAATAAATTTATATGACACTAATTTGGAAAATATTACGCTTTGAATACTTGAAAAAAGTAGGTAAAATAAACCATAAAAAATTGCTAAAATACATTGCCATTATTGAATAGTTACATAAATCGTTACAAAGAAGAATGGCGAAATCAGACCCCATAATTTACAAAACCGTACATGGATGGCAATATGACAACTAAATAATATATGATTAATAGATTTTATTTCTACAAAATGGTGAATTTTAATGTCGGGGAACCAAACTAAAATATTAAATGCTGCTAATAATTATCAAGATAACCAAACGTCTGATGATAGTGCAAAAACAAAACGCGAAAATCTTCTTAAGAAACGTTCTGGCCTACGCAGAAGTACTTTAATAATAAAACTATATCTTGGAAGTGTTTCATTAATTTTGCGCCGGGCAATAAAAGGGTCATCTATTTTAATGGATATTATCGTTTCCTGTACATTGCAATTAAATCTATTGCCTTTAAAGTACCATTAATACGCTTAATAATCGAATATAAATTCAAAATAAGATTGTATAGAATAGATTCCGTTCTCTTAAATTGAAAACCACATAATATATCAAAGGGTTGTAGTTTGGATGGTTTTTGAAAAATCGATCACATATATCAACGATGTTGGAGCAAAATAAAAAAAATATATATCAACGATGTCAGAAGCGATTCTCAATTAATCGCGAGTTTTTCAAACATGTTCTATAGAATATTATCTGTCGCCATTTACTGCTAATAATAAATGAGATATGTGATGTAATTACGTGTACCGACTGAGCGAATGAACGTCAAATATATATTCAATATAAAATCTATATATAATATATCATATGAAATACGGTCTTTGAATATTTTCATAAATATTTATTTTATTCGTTCTAATTACGTATTGAATACTTGAGAAATAAAAAAATTTAAAGCTAAGATACCACAACCGATTTAAGAAGATCTGCAGTTAATCCGATGAAAGGTTAACGTATCGATTATTTTGTTCTAATTAATCGATTGGTTGATTTTATTTTGACATGCTTGTTTTCATCTATGAATGTTCTATGATGATGATGGTGGAATGATAGCGGATATCAACAAAACCAATCGGTTTGGTTTGTTTGTTGTGTGTTCGTTCGTGGAGTTTGATATTTATGTTAATATTAAACTTGACAATTAAGCATGTTTCTTCGACTAACGTTGATATTCGCATTACTTTTGGATTCCGAATGGCAATCGATTCGGTTATAACAATTACAGTTCAATGTGTACATTGCCCTTATTTGTCACTTTCAGTTGTAATGATTTAATTAAAGGCAAAGGGATCTACTCCACACAGTTTAGTCATATGTTATAAATGTTTCTTCTATTATAAGTGTCTGGATCTTGTTAGATATGTAATTATTTTAATCTAGTTTATTTAACGGAGTAACCTGGTTACCATTTTTATTTATTTTAACGTTCATTCAACGAAAAAGCAAAGATGCAATATATAACCCCACAAAGTATTTTATGCCATATCTTTTTAATCCCAACTTTTAAAGGAAAAAGACGATTAGGATTTTGTTAGTTTAGCTTATACCTTCAAGTACACGTTTATTTCATTCATGAACGGGACTTTAAAAATTCAGGTCCAAAGCTATATGGGAGTTCGCCATTGTTCTTTCATTATATTTATATAAACGCACAAATAACAAAGATATTACAAATATTCTTCAGACGTCCCTTGTGCCTTGAATTTGTATGGAGCCGACTAGCAGCAATTTCACAAACATTGCACTGTATCTTGGAAATAATTAATCGCAGATATGCTGTCACTCCTATATTATTTCTTAGACATTAATGGATAATTTAAAAAATAAAAAAGTTGCCAACTAGCCTCTTCCCTAAGGTGAGTTCGTTTAATCTTCATTTATAGTATAAAAGTATTTTTAATAATAATTATTTAAGTAATATAAAATGTCCATATTCCATATATTCCCAAACGGTGGTGTAAATAAGGTTTGTCAATTACAATCACCTTCTACATTTATTGAAAAAAAAGAAAGATTGACACGCTCTGTCAATTATTGATGTATTTAGGTTTAAATCTTGCATATCC